GAGAGGAAAGGGAATAGAGGAAAGAGATCAACAAGAGTCATATTGTGGAGCTAAGGATGACAGGGAAGTACGGAAGGTAAAGGTTGTTGAATAAGAAATATGTAAATATCAGAAATACGTACAACTCACAAGATCACAGATTTTCAGACATTAGTAAATCAGGAAGCTAAGAGTTCAGATTAAACTTAGTGAAACTAGACCAGCTGAAGATATCAAAGTGCTACCTTGAAAACTGTATCCCAGCAGTAGCATAAATATTTTAGGCAATTTTAGGTGATTTTAAACAGGTTTATCCATTCACAACATATTTTTCTATGAAAGTGGTTTCTTTCTTTCTTTCTTTCTTTTTTTTTAAGTGATGAACCGAATACTTTTTCAACATGCCAAGTGAAATTCACCAAAAAATGCATTTAGATTTTTTGTGTCTGTCAGCACAATGCACCAGAACTATGCAAACATTCATTGCTCATAATTTGTTAACGTCTGATGGTACTGTCATAAAAAACACATATTGCATCTAGCAGAAAGATACCTTATCTTCATTACAAATGATTTTGTATCTATTTTTATGGAGATGAAGAAATCAGTGTGATGTTTGGGTTTAAAAATATAATGTTGTAGTCAAGGTAATCAGGGACTAGAACTTGGTTGCCCTTACTAAAGCACTTACTCCTACTGCTTTATAAACTGTATTATTAGTAGATAGTCTATCTTACTATTGACTACTATGTGTTTTATTGTATGCATCTGAAGAAGAACCAAAAAGGGAAGGGGAAGGAAATCATTACTGTGGTCAAGGAAAGTACTAGATTTGTTAAAATATCGAGTTCTTGATGATGGGAAATATATGCCAGTGTTAATAGAATAAGAGAGAGATTTCCAAAAATGTAATACAGGAAATATCCGGCATCTTAGACCTGACAATCCATTACGTATTTTCACTGTGGGATTTTGTAAGATTAATTATTTGAGGAACAAATACCAAAAAGTTCGATAGCATATGCTTTTAAATGAAGTACAAATCTGATTCTGCTCACTACTTTGCTATTATGGCTGTCTGGACACATGCACTGAATCAGTAATCTGCCATATCCAATTTTTTTTTTCAACTCTGAACATACACCAGAACTGGATCTTTGAAGTTGTTAATTGAATTATTTTCTCGATGAGACAGATGATTTATTGATTTGTCTTGAATCACTGTTCTCAGACATTATACCTAATACGAATGCCTACATGCCAGAAACAATTTTCAGCATTTGCTTCTCTTACGCAATCTTCATACATTGTTTATGAGTAACGACTCTTCCTAAATGTTTTGCTGTGCTGTCTGTTTCTTTCCCATTTAGGAAAATGAAAAGCTTGAGCATAGCTGGTGCTCATTCCCTAATGTTCTGTGCCATTCTGAAGTTAGAATTACGTACAGAATCCTACTCTAATAGAGGATTTTGTTTAATTTCATACCTATATGGCATAGTGTGTCTTCATTCTAAACATATTTTTAATTTGGATTACCTCATCTCTCCAAAATAATACTGCATGTTTTATCATTAAAGTTTATAACAATACTTACGAGCTTCATTTTTTGCCTGTGGCAACTGATAGGAAAAGTTGCTTTTGTATGTTTTGGCAGCATTTTTTATTTTTAGTGGAGTCATAAGGTTTAAGTGTAATAAATATCTGTGACTCAGTTTTTATTAAATTTGTGAACAATTTTTTTTTCAATGAAGTGCATTCAATCTCATAGTTTTGTATTTAGCCATTTAAAAGTCACGTGTGTTGTTTAAACTGGTGGTATTCAATGGACAAATGCTTAAGAAGAATGGTTAATTTATGAATAGCCCTGAACTGATTTGTTGTCCAGCACAAATTAGTCCTGAGTTACATATTTCTATTTTTTTTTGGTTGTTGTCTTACCTTTCTCGTGTATCTGCTTTTTATTTCTTATTATACAGTACATGCATTGCATTTAAATATCCTACATCACTGTATGTCATAGGATATTTATGTCTCTCCGTTATTTTAAAAGACTGAAGACATTAGATTTTAAGACATCAAATAGTCAATGTTATGTTTTCAAAACTCTGAAGTGTTTCTTTTTCTGTTCACTGCTTTATGCTAAACATATTATGTGCTTCCCTTTGAAATGCCAATTTTGTAACCATTTAAGCCTGCTATATTACAGTTAATGATGAAAATGTACAAGAAGAAAAAGGAAAATCTCTCTATAAAACAATTATCCCCTTCCATTTCAGCATTTTTATTTTATAAGAAATACTAGATTATCTTCTATACATACTTAAATAATGATTTCCAGACTTTCTTCTTCGTATGAAATACCATTCCAGTTATCTATTACTGACTAGTGAGTTTAAGATGATTTGTCTGAATAAAACCATTAATGTTTCTTTTCTCTTCACTGGATCTATTAACTACTGGGGAAATTACTGAAAAGCCTTTTTTTCCACAAAGCTTTTAAGAGGGACAATGAAAAGCTCATTTTGTTTAGCAGTGCTTTACATTTGGGAGTTGTTGATTTTGGTATATCTTTATTCGAAGGACTTCTAGCACTATTTGTAATTTTGAATGTTAAAACTGCTGTTAGTATGTATAGTCACATGTAAATAACAGCCCAAAACTTGTAAATTATTCTTTTAAAACATAAACAGATACTGTAAGCATCCAATAAATATCTATCTTGAGCAGATAGAGCAGAAACTTGTAAATTATTCTTTTAAAACATAAACAGATACTGTAAGCATCCAATAAATATCTATCTTGAGCAGATAGAGCAGTTTAAAATGAAAGTCCCTATTCTTCTAAATGTATGTACAGCAAGAGTGCAGTCCTTTTTTACGTGTAACACTTACATATGATATAAATTGGCCAAATGTATACTTAAACCCACAGTAAGCATCAAATCATGCAATTTTACCTAGGGAGGAAAGGTATTTGGGTTCCGACAGAGCATCCTTACATATTCCATGTTCTTGCCATTGTTCGTGGACAGAATGAATTTGTCATGAGAAATTATACATTATGGAGGATAAAGCTTATCTAAAATCTGTTGTGTGGTAACCAGATTTTGTGTCTCATGCACACTATGATGAGATTTCTATCCATACATTTGTCACGTTCAGTACAAAAGCTGTTTGCCAGGCACAAATCAGTTCACGTTTTCCTTCAAGTGACTTATGCTAAATTGTTTTCTAGAAGAAAAGTCAGGAGTTGGACTTTTGATATTCCAGCATTCCATACTTAAGCGTAAAATAGGCATATGCAAAGGTTTGGTGTTTTTTTTTTTTTTTTTAAGGGAGGTCCTATGTTTTAAAATGTCACATCCAGAACACTCTTTAGTACTCTGTTCTTTGCATGATGTTTAGATGCTGAAGTACGGTTTTTAAAGGTCTATGAGAATTAAAGGGCAGTAGAATTTCTTGTTATAACACTTGAAAAAAAGGACGATCTTCTGTGTCTTGTAAATAAAGCCATAGTAAGACATACTTTGTTTATTCAAAATATGTTGATTGTGCTGATCAGTGTAGCAGGTTTGATTTGTAATTGGAACTGGTCAGAGTTCTCTTGCAAAAGCCTGTAATATGCATGCACCAGCAGTATAGTACAAAAAGTTAGTATTGCAGAAAGGCAAACACATAAGGAAGTTGAAAACATGCAATACAGAAAGAAGTAGTTTTACGCCATTCCCAAAGATAAATTTTACAGTTCAATTAAATACGCTCTGTTCAGGTCTTTGTTAGACTTCTAGAAATTTTCTAGCCTAAAGTTAAAGTAATTGAGAAGTCTAAAACAGAGCTTCCTGAGACAACAGGAAGCATTTAAGATTTCTTTATTAAAACAGGTATATATGTAAATATTTCAAGTATTAAAAAGAGATGCCATGACACCCATTTTAATGGATAAATAACCTCAAGAATTGTGTTTGTTTCCCTCACTTTCAGTAATATAAAGAATACTTACGTAATACTCTTAAATATAATAAGTGGGATTAAAATGAAAAAGACACTTCAAAATATTCAGTAGACAAAAAAATACTGTTTTACCCAAGACAGAGGCAGAAGAGCAGGGAAAGAATCACTCCCTCCCTCTCATTTTCTGGAGGCCATCAGGGTCTTCAGGAAACTGTGTAGAGTGGAAAAGCCTTGTCACTGCAGGCACTGTGATCTCATAATTATAGTTAGTTCACAAACCAGACATTTTCTCTCTATCTGATACAGTGTTTAGCTACATGTTTAATATAGCCATGTACAGCCAGATTTGCAAGGAAGATGCACCATTTTTTTTATTTTCAGTAACTTTAGGTTTTGTTAAGGAACCGGTACGAATATTATCTTAAATAGAAAGCGTGCTGATGTGTACAGTATTTCACCTGAACTTGGTAGAATACATTGTAATATTTTAGGTATTCTTTTCGCTTTCATTTTTTTTTTCTTCTAGTTTTATTCACACTGCTAATCATCTTTAGAAGGATTTGATAAGGCATATGCTAATTCCAGTAGGAAATTGGTGAAGCTCCTAGGTATCTGTGAATGTTCATAGTGAATGTAATTTCTGCATGGCAAAAGTGGACACTATAAATTCAATCACCAAACAACTTATATAAGTTTCGTAATCCGATTACATTTGTCACAGAAGAGTCTTATTAAAGAGTTTCTCATCCTTGGGAAGAAATAATCTTTGTCATTTCTGAAACACGTCTTTCAAGGGACTGATGTTGCCTAATATTAAATATAACTGATAGGTCTTCTCTTTCCGAGAATTTCATCTGAAACAATTTCAGTAGAGGAGAAGCACATGAAAATTAGGTCCCTAGAAACTCAGGATTGTATACTGCTGTTATCATGGTTAGTAATAAATTGAAACAGAATTAAATTAAACTTTCTAAAATGTTAATGCTTCAATAGGTTTATATAGCTTGTTTTACTGAAACGGTTAACATATTTGTGTATTACTTTTTTTTTTTTTTTTTTTTTTTTTTACAGATGCCCCAACGTTTCTGTCAAATCAAACTGTGTATTTCTCTTGGGAAGGCAATCCCATCAATATAACATGTGAAGTACTGGCAAATCCATCTGCCTCAGTTCAGTGGAGAAAAGGAAAATTAGTTCTACCAGTAAAGAATTCAACACATCTGAAGACCTACAGTGCAGGAAGAAAGCTGATTCTAGAGGTAAGGCTTAAAATGGCAATCAGTTCAGTGAAATTAGCTAATTAATTTCTTCCTCAGTGTGGCATCATTGCAAGTATTATACTGTGTGTGTAAAGGTAAGATTTGCAATCTAATAAGTAAAGCTCTTCAAAACAAAACAAAACAAAAAAAAGGTGAACTGATTTATCTCCACATTTCTTGTGAACAGTTAGGAAATAAACCTAATTTACATAGCTTATATTTAGGATTCTGCTGGCATTGAATGCAATTTGCATTTATGACAAGTAAATAATGGCATAAGTATAAAATTAAACCATCAGGTTGAAATTTAAAAATTAAGTGACTGAATGGAAGATGCTTGGCATATAGAGAACTATGTATTTGGCTTCAGTCATGACTGTGAAGGAAGGTAAAGTGGTAAAAGACTGCATTTGATTTGGTGGTCACAGAGGCACTGGAAAACAAAGAACTATGTTACTTTCTTTTACGTTAAATGTACACTTAAGAAAATAAAACCCAAGAAAGGCAGAAGACAAAGAATGAACTTTAATTTTCCAGCTACTCTATTATCTTGAATAAACAATGAACTGCTGAACAGTAATGCATGGCAAGCTATGGTCCTTAAATATTTCATAGAAGAGTGTCTGTAACCATTATCTCCATTTGTAGTCTCACCTGTTACTGTGACTAGATATTCTCTCCTCACTGAATGTGAGAAGTGTTGAGGAAATTAGGTTTCTCGGTTGCCATAAAAAAATAGTTCAGAAGCTATAGAATTAATCCTATAGAGGGGGGATGTACATCAGATCCCAGGTGAGTGACGTATGGTGTACTAAAATAAAGTCTTTCTAAAGTCCAACCAATGAACTTCTTGAAATTAACTATATTATTTTGTTGTTGCTTTCAGAAAAAGCATTACTTGTAATAGAAATGCCTAATTTTCCATGAGAAGTTAAGTGATTGTCTCAAGGGAAATTGGGGCAGAGGAGAAAGACGGAATGTGCATCATTATGTAATACAATGTCAGAAGAACATAATGACACCAAATTTTAAAATAAATGACAAGCTGGCATGCATATATGTTGATAACTATTCATTTGTCTGATGAAAAATAGTCTTTGGTATCAAATTGTATTCTGCTTTATGGAGTCCTTACAGAAACTAACTGCAAGTTTTCAGATCTACATTGTGTTGTGGGAAGAAGAAAGCAAGGAAATATTCAGCCATTCTAATAACTGATTCTTTGATTTGCCTGTGATGGCATAGGTAGCTGAGTTTACTCGGGTTATCTGAGTCTTGGTAACCATGCATGGTATGTACTTACCTCATCGCATGTGGAGTACATCATATTAACATTAATCTCTTCTAATGACTTTTAAAAGTATTCTGGAAGCAGTCTGTTAGTTATTTTGATTTAACTGATAATGTCATCAGCGTAACCTTAGTAATTCTGGGGAAAAATAAAATGACAGGTGACAGGGCAAGGAGGAATGGCTTCAAGTTGCGCCAGGGTAAGTTTAGGTTGGATATTAGGAAAAACTTCCTTACAGAAAGGGTTGTTAAGCCCTGGAATAGGCTCCCCAGGGAGGTGGTTGAGTCATCATCCCTGGATGTGTTTAAAAACCATTTGGATGTGGTGCTCAGGAACACATTTTAGTGGTGGGTTGTTAGAGTTAGGGCAGTATGGTTACATTCTGGTAGGACTTGATGATCCTTAAGGTCTTTTCCAACCTGAGCAATTCTATGATTCTGTGATTCTATGACATTAACTGATGTAATTCAGGCATGAAGTTTTGGCTACCCGATAATTGTACAGAGAAAAGAGGCAGTTGGAAACTTCACATTTCCAAAGTCACAGCTTTCCATGAATCTCTACAGTTCCCTTAAAGAAAATTTTGGACTGTCACTGAAATCTGTTCATATATATAGATTTGCACTTAATCCACCCTTTGGTGCTATTTTGGCATATCAATACGGACTTATATGACATATCAAAAATATTATTGAACCTCCAGTTAACTACAAAGAAGTCAAGTTTACAAAGATTTTATGATACAGTTTGTCTTTCATTTTTCTTCTTTTACTCCTCCCTGGCAACTTATAGGTATGGAAACCCTTCCTTTTCCATCTTTTGCTCAGGGTTTTGCTAATTAAAAAAGAAGTTGAAATATCTCCCTTCAGGTGGGGAACTCTGGTAATTTTTACTAACAATTTGCACACAGGGTGTAAAAATGAAGATGCTACAACAACACAGTCCTTACTGTCCATCATATTGTTGTTAAGCATGTATGTAAATTAACAGTTGAATTACAAGTTCTCTGTTCTTCATAAGCCTTGAACAGACATTGTACATTTAAAAAGACATAGTCTTACCCTTGTTTGAAGTTGATCTTTAGAGCTCTTAACTTAAAGGAAATCTTTCAAGAGGCTTTACTTAACAGCACAAATTATTCTTTACATCCTATAGTTTTTTGAGTTCTTTTCCAGTTTTCTATCACCTGAACAGTTGGATGGGCTGCATTTCCAATAAGACCCTAACTTCCTGTGATATCCATTACCTTTTCTGTCTCACATCCATATTAACATGAGTTTATGATTGTCACATACTTGTATCTTCTTTTTTTCTTACTGAATGTCTAGTATGTTGTGAATCTTGTAAACAATAAGCAGTAAAATATTATCCTTGCAGTGTTTGTAGGAATCAGCAGATTTCAGACCTATCATTGCTTAGTTCAGTCCAATACAAGCAAATATTATCTATGTGAACAAACATGCAGTTTATTAGATGTTTTTCTTTTTTGTTCAGAAGTGAAATTATAAAACTGAATAATGTTTCCATTTTTCATTATTTAGTTTCCACATTTCTTTTTGAAAAGAAGGAGTTTTACTTGAAAAATGATTAATTTAGATCTGTATTTTGAGGAATATCCTAGATAGGGTAAGGTAAGAACACATCTCAATGTTGATTACACAGAACATGTTTGCATTTCTGATATTTTAAAAGAAATATACTTGATTAAAAAGTAATATTTACAAATTGTATTCATTTTAAAGATTGCTCCTACATCTGACAGTGATTTTGGACAGTATAATTGTACAGCTACAAACAGAATAGGAACAAGATATCAGGAGTACACACTCGGTCAAGCCGGTAAGTTATAACTGTTCATTTAAGTTCATTTAAACCTTTTTTCCATTCTCATCACAATACACTTCAAGACTTTTCTTTGTTTATTTTATTCCAATAGAATGCTTACAGTTAATTTTAATGCTCTAAAATTAGAGTTGCAGTACAATGTAAAATAAGCCAGATTCCTCAGAGTATGAATCTTCTTTAGACTGAATTTTAAGCCCCTCTGAAAATTTGAAAGAAATCTAGTAAAAACAAGGGCAGATTAGGAAAGACTTTTTCCTTTTTCTTGCCTGTATTTTCTTGAGAAATCAAGGATGTCAAAAAAGTTCAGGGAAGACTTATTGTCATTTGCAGTTCTAGTTATTTAAAAGCAGAATTTGACCTAGAATGATAGATTGGATTAATTTAAGCTCAAAAATATTCTAGAACCAGTTAGAGAGTTTCTGAATATTTTTAGGTCCATCTATCATTGTTCAGAGAAATACAAAAATATTACTGTATATTTGTGTTTTTTGCCAGAATTAGCTGTTAACTGAGAGTAAATGAGAGCTTCTTAGCTTTTCTTCCAGTGTTATTTTGTTGTGCTATGGACCAATGCTTGTTCAGCAAGCTTTGAGGTCTCCCAACATGTTGATCTACATTCTAGGTGATGCAAATTGTTACAGTTTCAATAATCTATGGAGTTACAGTGTAGTTTGTAATTGTAACAGAATTTCAACCAACACAAATGTTTTACATCCCTTGTGATGCAGTATCAATCATTTTCTACATGGATCTTTAAGGTCATACTACTCTGCTGACTGACAGTTACACTTGAAGGGTAGAGATATAGATAAGGATTAGAGCATTTCCAGCCTTTTTTTTTTTCTTTTCTTTTTTTTTAATTTTTTACAATCTTTATTGTTTCAGCTGTAACTTCTGGTTATATTTTTTTAAATAAGAAAATAAATTATTTAGACCCATTCTAGCAGGACCTTTTTGGGTGCATTGCTGAAATGTGCATGTCTAAATATAGGGAGTCTCTCTTATACTACCTAGTATTTTAATTTTTTTAATACTGCTCAATAGGGTAATTATCTTCTTTTCATTTCTTAGGAGTTATAAAAAGCAGTTGTTTATTAAATTTCTTAGATATAAGCAATCACATCTTTGAAATTTATTTCCATTATCTCTAAGGAAATAGTTACTAGCACATCATTTACCATGAATGCTACACTTCTTGTCTTTTGATGGTCAAAATGACTGAGCTTCCTCAAATAGGGAAATACATTTTTTCTTTTAAGAAACAGCAGATTTTGATGTGGCAAGATTTGTGTCATCCAGGAGATCTATTCCCCTTTTGAGAACATTTTTTTAGTTGCTCTATTGCAAATCTGATCATCCTTTGATAGCTACATATTACTAATGAAAATATACTACCACTTCCTTTTGCATGTAAATATCCTTTGTCTCAACTAAAGTCTAATTTTGTACAGTAAATTATTTATATTCTGCCTTACAAAACTCTCTCCCATTTAAGGACAGTCACATTCTAACTCATACTCAAAGTCTTTTTTGCATATGTGTACAAGAAAAGAATTTCCAGAAGAGAACAGGCTGTAGAGTCTTCGTTTATGATCGTTTAGCTATTTTGTCCCATTTATTTCAGTAGACCTATTTGAAAACTGGAGTTTCTATAAAAAAGGCTAAAGTTAGGACTGTAACAGTTCATCAGTACTACACATGGCTTTAAATGTATAAAATGAATTATTCCTGTAATGTTCAAAAGTGAAGTAGTAAGAGAAAAGCTCTAACTATGATTGATTCTGTCATAATTTAAGAAGTAGGCTCAGCCCTCTGAAAACTCAGGGCATGATTTTGTAAATATTAATGACTGACATAGGATTTGCAGAGCTGCATTAAATTCATCAAACTAGAAAACTGCACCTAACCCCCTAACTTCAGTCAGATTACATCTATTTCTCTTCAACCTTGTTTTCTCTTTGAGTCAACACATGCATCTCTTGATTGAGCACCAGCATTTCCTCTATCTATCCTGGTGCACTAAGTGCTACATTGGCCTCTGGAGTATCATCTCTAAGGTTTGATACATGCAGGGATTCACTGGAAGAGAAAAGCAGTAAAAGGGCCATATGAAATCTGCGTAGGGTAGTTTCTCAGTTCTTCTGAGAAACAGAAAGTATGCCAATGGAACTTTCTTAAAGCCGTGAACAAAGTTGTTGGGAAATGTTAGGAAAATTCCCTCTGATGTCTTAGCTCCTGGGACAAAAGAAAATGATAAAATGATGCAGTTGTGCCAATGGGAACAAAGGCAGTCAGATTCTACTATTGCTTTGCATGGGCTTTTTTTCATAAAGATGTGTATACATACAATAGCATCTCTGTAAATATTTTTTAAGTATTAAATGATTCCTAGATTTGCAAAACAGTAACAGTAACAGTGATACTACGTGATGATTTTAGCTATGCATTTATTTCCTGCTTTTATAAATAACTGATCTTAATACAAAACAATTTTCATCATTAATTGAAAAGTAACATGTTATTTTGATTGTGCATTTTATTTCAGCTAAGTCTCACAGGAGAGCCCCTGGAAATGCAAATGAGAGCAAATAACTGTTATTTTCAAATAGTTCTAGTTTTCAAACAGCTTACTATTCTCTATTTCTACAGCAATTTGTTTAAGACTTTTCAGTCACTTCTACAGAAGATTTATCAGCTCTTTAGAAAATTATTTATTGAAGTTATTAACAGAGGTAAATTAATACATATTTAATGAAACTAAGAGATAAAGAACTATGGGAAGTTACTGTGTTAAGCATTAGCTCTATATGGACATTCATTTCATATCAAATGAAATAGAAAATAGAATAAACTCATATTTTGTAGAAATTATTGTGAACACCTACCCTTAATATATCCTTTTGGTGTAACATTTGTATCACGTTTGAGGGTTTCAGGACTCCAGTGTTCTAGGTACTACTTACAGTAGCGTAATTTTCTTCCTAATTTTCCTACATCTACTGTTTTACTCCAGTAAATTAGGAAATCTTAATGACTGATATTTCACATGTTAAAAAGCCTATAAAATATTCATGCGTTTAAATACAGCCTGGATTTCCATTGGCTTTGATTATAAGTGCTAATGCTAACGTGTAATGTACTTTTATAGTGGATCTGTCAGGGAAAAATAATTACTATTTCTAGGTGGGAAATGTTACTAAGCAAAGTATCCTGCTACAGTAAATTTTACAAATAATGATCATTTTACAAAATTGCTTTCTCTTAAAATCCTTCTGGAATGACTTGTTGAATGTTTTGTTCCATTTTTCTGCTTTGTTTGGTTTTCAGCAGATTCAAACTGCTTTTTCTCGTTATTGTTATTTAATTAAATGCTGGCTGAAAAGCAATCATATGGCACAATACTGTTATTTTTATTTCTTTTCAATTGAACATATTCAGGGCTTCACAGTGAAAGGTTCTGACCATTACTTGTAAAGTGCTGAGAATCTTCAGTGCTTATTGAAGTCCTATTTAGGTATGTTCAAGCACCTGAGTGGTGGGGATCAACTCCAAAAGAGTGACATACTCTTTCTTATTGCTTAAGCATTAAAATCTCTTTCTTAGTAAGTATAAAATACAAAAAGCGCCACAGTCTTTTTCATTTATTGCCACTGCAAATGAATTACCTCACATCACATCCACAACTTTTATTTTAGAAATCTGCTTATACTCTGTTTTTTCTCCATGACAGGCTTAGTCTATGACAAGCCAGGTGAGCTTGACAGATTGTCCCAATGGCTTTCAAAGCCTGAGGTGAGCACAGATATTCCTAGATTTACCCAGATATAGTTTAGTCATAGTTAATGTGAATTGTCAGTGTTTAGGGAGATGGTATAAGAAGTAAAGCATATTTCATTTCTGTCATGATTTCAGTATTGTTATTTCAAATGCATGGGAAAGATAGTAATTGAACTTCACAGAAGTCCTTTAACTTGTTTGTTGTTTTTTTTTTTAGTCACTTCCTGTTCAAGATATGATAAGGTTGACCCATAAGTGACAAAAACTACAGCATCAAATTTAAAAGTTTACTTATCTGAATTTTTGATGCTGGCACTTTCGGTCTGGTTAATGGATGTTGCTCCTTGTTTCTCCATATATTCCTGTTTTCTCACAGGCATAATAAAATCAAAGAAGTAGAACTTTATTTTCCCTGGAAAATTACGTAACAAAAAAGCTATTCTGTGCCAGAACAGTGCTTTTAGATCTTACTGACATTTTTTTTAGGATTGCTGTTTTTTTGTTTTGGTTTGGTTTTTTTGTTTGTTTTTCTTTGGTTGTTATTTGTTTGGTTTTTGCATAAATTGTACCTTGCTGCTGCCTAAAGTCCATTTATTTTCATAAAATATAGACAGATCGCAAATGCAGATCTCAGTCCTATAACTTGCCATGCACGTCTTCTGTAGTAGCATCAATTAAGGTATTTTACTAGAAAAAGCACCATAATATTTTCAGTAAGCATGGAGTGAAACTGTTAATAAACAATGTGGTGGGTGGGTTTTTCTAGTTTTTGCTTTGTGTGCATGTATTTTATTTTTATTTACTGTTTATGTATTTATTTGCTAGCTGTGGTCCAGTTTTCTAATCCATTCCTTATTTTCAAGAACCCTCAGCGATTTGATTAAATAAATCTGTTGTAGCTGTCACCAGTGAAAGGCATCAAGGCAGTACTCCTCATCTCTTTCCCTGCAGTGGTCCTGATACATTCAGTATTTAGACATAATTACTTTCTCCGAGTTATACAACTGTAAGCTGCAGAACTGTATGTAGTAGGAACATGTTGACAGGAGATAAGGAGAAAAGAACTAACTGGAAGATAATTCCTGACCTCACAATGTACTTCTACAACCTACTCCCACGCCATTACTTCCTTCTTCCATTTTTACTGCTAAACTCCCAGATGGAAAATTATTTTCTTCCACAGAACTATCAAAGAAATAGCTTGAAAAAAATCTTTGGTGATAAAGATTTGGTCATTCCTTAAATGTGTTGGATAAACCATAACAGACTTGAAATAGTATTTGCATGGCTGTGGAGATAAATACATACTTATAATTGTATGTGTATTTTTTTTATTTTTTTACTTGGAACTAAACCAAGTCTACTTAATTTAGGCCAATGGATCACAAAGTTCATTTGTGCTAACGTGCTTTATGTGCTGAATACAAAACGTATTAAGTGCAACTTTACACGTAATGCTATGGGGTCTTTTTGTTTTATTTTTTTGATTAATACTTTAATATCATACATGAGCATATTTTTTCAGCAGTATATTTTCTACTAGAGCTTATATAGAGCTTATAACAGAGTATGAAAAACTAATCACTGCCTAGCTAAACTCTTAAAAGTTTTGTTGGTTAGTTTGGCTTTAAAGGGAAAAAGAACAGCAAGCACCCACGTGTTCTGCCCTTCCACATGCAGACTAAATCATATACAAGCAGTCTTGCAGATTATTCTTTATTTGTGCTAATCATTGAGACAGAGCCCCACAATTGTAAAACAATATCATAGCAATGCTCCAAATAATTTCAACTGATGTGACATACAGTTCAAATGCTGAAGTGTAGATCAGGACCAGAGGGCTGTTTACTTTGCATGATGAAATTTATGCTCAGTATAGAACTACCAAATTGGATTCAGTTCATCATGCTGCTGATGATCTTTGGGAAAAAGCTGCAATTGTACATAGTCTGAAAGAGACAGTGGGTATTTCATTCTGCCCCAACAGAGTTGCTATTACTTGTTCGCTATTTTGGCTAGGAATTTGTCTCCTTTTCTGTTTTCTTCTAGTGATTCTTTACTGAAAATAAGATGCTGATACAGTTCAACTTTGAAAATCACATGAATATTACCTACACATATGTGGGTAGCCTGAATCATGAATGCATATCTGAAATAGTATTGTGGATGCATTACACAATGAGTTCGAAACATACTGCATTATACTAATTATGCCAAATATTTTATTAGATTTTCTCTGGAGCTTCAGTTATTGCCTATTTCGAAATGCAGCCATATCTTCATATGGCATAAATCATACATGAATCTGCATTGGAAAACATGAAGTTTCTTTAAGGATGTCTGCTTCCCAATGCCATGCTTCGGACGTTTAATCATATTCAGACATATATACAGGGAAAAGAGATTTCCTTAACATGTTGAAATTCAAGCAGAGTGGATATACGAATAAAGTATGTTTGATTCACATCATTGACTGAAAAATTGTTTTGATCTAAACTGAAATACCAGTGAATTGACTCATAGAAAGATCGTACAGAAATTAACATGAAACTAATCTCAGTGAAATTAAATATTCACTCAACCTTATAAAAAATAATTTGTTTCTATTTTCAATTCTTTTAACAACAGAAAAGGAAACAAAAATTTTTAGGAACTATTTGTAACAGTATTGGTATCCATAGCAGCTTCTAGCTCATAATTAAATGTTAAGGCCGTTCATCTTCTTTACTGGAGAGCCATATTCATCTTCCCGTATGGTTGGTATCTGTATGTCTCATACAGTACTGTGTCGCTTCATTTTGCTATCCTGGGCTGCTTAACTCAGATACTAATGCTGGCTTTTTGCTGCTTCTGTCAGAACAGGACAAGAGGAGTGTGTCCACGGGATGGTTCTTAAGTTAAGTGTGCTAGCAGGAACAAAACTTAGTGTTCTTAGCTGAAGGACAATCTGGAGGAGAGAAGTCACAATCTAGTATTAATTCTTGTCCTCTGAATTTGAGATCAGTGCTTATTTAAGCAAGCAACTCATACAGCTCATTCTTCTGTATGAAAAAAAAACATGGTTTTAGAACATGCTTTCCTTTTCTTGAAAAACAAACTTTTGATCAATTTTGGTTTAAATTGTGGATGTCTTGATTATCTAAGCAAAGCATCCTATTAGAAAAGATTCAAAACCCAGTTAACTGTTCTCCTAGACGCACAGAATACTGTGTTACATTCTGCCATGCCCTGTCTGACTGTGCATATTGAATTCCTTTATGCACAATAATACAACTTCCATAAGAAAAGTGGACTTTTCCTGCAACATCCTATATCTGGGTGGTAGGAAAGTTTCCTGGAATACCGAAATGTCTGGGGGTTTGAATCCCTCAAGATGACATTTGTATTCTGCCCAAATTTTAAATTTCGTGGAGGTATTTAGTTGTGTCCACATAAATAAAACTATGTTGTTTTTAACCCAACAAACACCAAGCACTGGAAGTTTCAGACCTATTTTTAGAAATGTTAATTGTAGGAATGCTAAGAGGTACGATTCAGGTACTCAGCTCTGCAAGCATTACAGAATTTTTCTGGGAAAAAATAGGTACCTGACTGTTAAAATTTTGGATAAATTCACCCCTATATAGTGTCTTTGCCAAGCGTCCTTTTCATGAGAATTCATGGATGAATGTCTTCTAAGGCCCGTTCTTGAGTATTTTATAACAATTTCTGGCTCATTTTCATTTAGGTACCAGTACTGACTGAATTTCAGATTGATTCTTTTTACTCCCAACTGCCTAACAGCCCTTGAATAAAGACTGTATTTTATGTAAGTGGTTGAATACCCAGTGACTTAATGATGAGCTTTGACTCAAGCCCTTGCTTGTCTTTAAAACAAATTTTCCATACCAGAGATACAAAGAGAGTGCCACATCTGTAATTAGATATGCAAGTAATTGTGAAATGTATCAGAAGTGAATATGCAAGTGTTTCAAATTCTTGATACTATGTCTACAAAACTGAAATTCATCCTATCCCATTTTCAATAGTTTTTTTTTTGTGTGTGTGTTTGTTTGTTTGTTTGTTTGTAATTGTAATGCTTTAAAACCTAGAACAGTTCTGTAAGTTAGTTTTTTGTCTTCTGTGTAGTTAGTTTAGACATACATTAACAGTGAAATAATGCCTACATTTTTGAAGATGTACTGACCGTGAGGTTGATTTTTCACCTTTATTTCATATTTAGTGTTTCAAAGCTACAGACTACTACTATATTTCTCTAGGGTTTTTTTTCTATTTTAAGAGCTATGCACTTACTTCAGACTTCAGAGAAAATGTGTTTCTTGCTTGCTATTATGAAAATTGTTTCTTAAACTGAAAAGAGAAACCTTCCTCTAATATTCCTTGCTAGTTGCTTAGAATTCAATCTATCAAATATGAGAAAAAGAAAAACTTATGTTTTCAGCTGTACTTCAGTTTCAGAAAAATGGCCAAATGATTTCTGCAGTTTCTTGTCATAATCTCGTTTTGAAAAATTCAGACTCTGAACGATCTGTTTAGCTGCAATTGTCCCGATTGTTAAATTTTTTGTTAAATTGTTTTTCTCCTTCACATAATCATTTATCAAACTCATCAATCAACATTTTCATTTGCCTACAACAAAGTTAACTATCAAAAAAATTATACTATAAAAGGTACCCAAAAATGGAAAATAATTTTGCATATCCTTACCATACAAGAAAATAAATGTATCTGTCTTACAGCTTAAATTGTTTATCTGAAGTGAACATCATTTCATCATATTCAGTAAGTTTTTTCTCCCTTCAAGATGCTAAGCAAACGTCTTGGGGTAGATTATCAACTGTTAATTTAGATCTGTCTAGTTGCTGCTGATCATTAAATTGATGTTTGCATTTTTCTAGATGTGCCATCAAATCCTTATGGAGTACGAGTTTTAGAGTTGTCACAAACCACTGCCAAGGTTTCATTCACTAAGCCAGATTCACATGGAGGTGTGCCCATTCACCACTACCAAGTGGATGTAAAAGAGGTAGCCTCAGAAACCTGGAAGATTGTTCGCTCCCATGGAGTTCAAAGTAAGTTTACGAAAAACAAACGGAAATATTTTAACTGATAGAATATCAAGGGAAGAGAATCAAATGTGTGTTAATTGATTCTGTGCTTCTCCATTAGTTCTTGCTGTATCTCCACTTAATGTGGGGTAGTCAGACCTTTTTGCACCAATTAGAAATCTTGCTCTTATCAATTGTTAAGTTTTAGTTTTACGTGAGTTACATGAACAAATTTATTTTTTCACTATTTTCGAGTAGAGACAAAGAATATTTGTGAAGCTGTAAATTTCAAAAACAGTAGAAATCACAGAGGAGTTAGTTAGAGAATGCATATTACATGCATAATTAAATTAAAATGTTGAGTAAGCTATTATGTGATGTTTTATCTGATTTTATTTTATTTTAATTACTGATTTTGAGCTACTTAGTAACCTTTGTTCATACCTGTCAGTATTCGTTATATCTGTTTCTAAAGCATATCTATAAGGTATTGTTCAATTAGTGATGCAAAAATGTATTTGCTAGATACTACGTTTATTACTGTTATACTGGTGCTAAAATACTAAAAGTCAGTCCAGTTCACTACTGGGTCTGTGCCTTCTTTACACACCTCTAAATGCAGAAAAAAATGTAAACATACAAGAGTTCTTTAAGTACATGCATTTGCAGGGTATTTTGACAGAGTAACATTAACAGGGTCTTAATAGAACAGAAATGCCTTCCATCCATAATTTACACTTTGGCATTTTCAGCAGATAGTGCAAGTCAAAATAGTCCCAACAGTCTTCTGATCCATACAGCAGGAGGTAAATTGTTTTGGAGCTATCACCACATTGAGGGGATCGTAAATGTAGTAAATGATCTAATGTGTCATCACATCAGCCACGCACATCCAATAAAAAAAATAGAATTGTTTCAAAGAAACATACATGTAATCAACAAATATTCAAAACAACAGGACTTTTTATCTTTTCTTAACGATATTTGGTAACTATAACAGTTTTACTGGCAGCATTCATTTTAGCTCATTATAATGTGCATTTTTTCAGTACTAGGAGACCAAATGGAGGACAGTAGGTTTCCTCTGATGGCAAGGCATACACATTAATTGATATTACTGTGCCTCTTTTAAGATTGTTTCAAAATGTTGAAAATTTGAAATGTTGAAATCAATCCAAGTCTTTTTTCTCTTAGCTGTTTTTTTCAATGAATTGACAGAAAGTTTCTCTGATGACAACTACAGTCTACCACATAATAAAACTTGTGGTGACCTGTGTAGTAGGCTGCAGTGTTCTGAAATGAAGACTAGCCAGTGCTACCATGCTTAATTTAAATGCAAAATCATAATGACAAAGTCTTTAGTGTTAATTTTGTACAACAGTATACTAACCTTAGTCCTCCTGCTTTCCTATTACTGATGTTAATGTGAGATTTGTAAAAAGATTAATTGATTATGTAGAAAAGATGTATAACTTCACAAACTTCTGTTACCAGAGTTAGCTTGTGCTGCTTTCTTCAAAAGTTCACAGCTTTTTGAAATATTCTATCAGCATTACATGTTCCTGCAGTTGTTGCCTACAGCTTATTTTGGAGTTTGCTGTATCACATAAGTTCATCTGCTTGGAATTACTTTAGTACAGTATCTGTACTAAAGTAACTGTACTGCATTGTACTGAAACTTACTTTACAAGTGGGAAGCAGTGTGAAGGATACAAATACCTTCAGTAGTTATGAACACAATACTTATGTGAAGTAGATTTTTACAATCTCTGCCTCCATTCCCGCTGCAATTAAAGACAGCTTAATTGAGAAAAAGACTGTGTTAGTTCCTACATGCTGTCACATTTTCTCTCACATTGTCTTCCTTTTGTGCCATTCATCATACATCCATTTTTTCTCTTTCCTCACCAGTAAGTCTTCAGGGCTTTTATCTTACCTCAGATCAGTGCTTTCTTTTTAATGCCATTGTCTTCTAACTAGCACTGAGAGTTTTTGTGGAAAAAAAAACCCAACAAAATAAATCACACTGGTTTTGAACATTTTAAAGGTAACTCATTATAGCATGTGTGATTAGAGACTCCTCTAAATGATGACAGAAAACTAGTAATCATAGAAGTGACCTGAAGGATCATCTTCGTCTACAAGGAGTATTTGGTAACAGGAATAGATATTGAGAATGTGAACTTTACTGAGAGAATGGTGGACAATGTTAAAAATTCATCACAGATCCATAATTAATATAACCTGTTTTGAGAAATCTCTTTTTGTATTCTCCTGCACAGATAGAGATTGTATCGTCTATATTTCTCTGTATTTATTTCTGAACTACTTTAGAGATCAAAAGCTACTTCAGAATTTCAAACATTGGCTAAGCAGGAGACATCTTTTTTTTATAAATGCTGTTGATTCTACACCACAGAGTAGCATACAAATAGTACAAAGAAAACAAAAGAGATCAAAAAAGCATTTATCAAAAGTTATTGAAGATAATTCATGAGTTAAAAATGCTTCTAATGTGTTATACGGACACAGCAGAAAAACAAGATATGTTGCCAAAATGTATGGTTAAGATTCAGATATGAATGCTTTTACACAGGGACAGTTAACTGCTCTCACAACTCAAGTCATGATGCAAACCTAATGCGTGAGTCATGACTGTTTTTCCCAGCAGCCAATGAGAAACCGTGCTGCAATTTCACAGGAAGACTTTTTATCAGTCTGATTTGAATCAGGAGTGATAAAACAGCACTGCAGTCCCTTCTTTCTACAGTGTAGTCAGTGGGTGAGTTCCAAGGCTGCATTTTAACAGGGGTAGGCAGAAGATCCTGTATTCTTTAGAAAGTAGTGCCCAAAAGACTGTTATTCTTCCAGTATGGAGATTGTCAAGACTAAACTGGGTCTTCTGGTCCCTTTGTACTGTGACCAGAAGCCGCAATATAGTTGTCTTTGTACAGACAGAAAGAACAACCATGAACTGCTAAAATGGATGATGGATGTATTTTAGATGAAACAGACATCTATCTTGACAATGTTGCTGCAGGAGTTAGTTTTTAATTAAAGTGTTACCAAATGATTCATAGATGTTTGAAAAAGTTGTTGAAAGGAATTGCTACTAACACTATCGAGTCATTAATTTTCTCACAATCATTACCTAAAAGCCATGTATAAAGCCTTCTAGAAGTAGGATTATAACTGTTTTTGTTTAGATGAAAAATACTAACCAAAGTTGTTAGACATTCTTATAAGTTCAATCAAGAAAATCGTGTAATACAGAATAAATTCTGCCAATCTGTTCAAACAGCTTGCAGTTTTCTTCATCTGAGATTCATGCTGCCTAACTGTACTAGTTTGAGATATTTTCAGATCAAGTTAAAGAGGGAATTTCAGGGTCCAGGAGCTGTATCTGCTTCCCTATTCTTTCTCCTTTTTCTTTTATAATGAAGATTTCATTTGAAAGGCTGTGCTGATAACGGCTATTGAATGTGGGCGCAGAAAATGAAGCAATCATTCTGATACACCAACCTCAGGCTATTTAAGGATTTAAAAGTCATAATCAATACTAGCATAGTTCACCAAGAGATCAGTAGGCAAATGGTAGCCAGATTTTTCTACACTTCTGGAATATGTGTTGAATATGCAAACTTTTGTTACAAGTGACCTTCAACCTTATGGCCACAGGGCATGGTGGGTCTCCCTGTTGGCCAGTGCTCTGGGAGGTCTAACATGGCCTGAAACTAGGTCCCATCCCAAAGCTCCAGCCTGCAGCAGTACAGCCAGAGACACCTCTTGGAACTGGAAACCTCCCTGAGAACACAGTTCAGCTGAGGCTAGACTGGGACATGCACATGCAGTTGGCCCAGGCTGGGAAGAGGCATGGCCAGGCAGGGCAGGGCTGTGGGGAGCTGGATTGTGGCCCTGCTACAGCTGATCTGGGGCTGAGGTCCCCCAGACTGCCTGGGGCTCTGGACCTGGGCAGGTGGGAGAACCCAATGGCAGGGGGTGGCAATTCCAGATCTGGTGTTTTATTTTGTTAATTTTCTATATCAATAAGAAAGCGTACATGTAGGTAAATCTTACTTCAATCTTTATAATATAAAAAGCATTCAGAACATTTAGAATAGGGTAATACCATCTTCTCTGTTTCTTTTTAGCTTTTGTATGTTATTTCCAAGCATACGAGTAACAAAAGTGTGATCTGTGTGTGTGTGCAGCTTGGGTTTCTGGGTCGAACTACTGAAATTTGTTTTCTGTCTTTAAGCAATGCTTTTTGGTAGTTATCAAACAGATATTGTTTCAGAAGATGTGAAGAGCTTATGATGTATGATTTTCTGCTGAGATTTCAGAAACACAAACACAAAAGAATTTTTTTTTCTTAATGTTAAAATACAGCAATTATGATGTCTTGTTATTGTCCTTGGGGAGGAAATGTAATATATAGGTTAATTATCATTCTCATGTACTACATCTTAGATTGTAGGCTTTGCACTACCTACTTCTTTTATAGTGAAGTATGAAAGTGCATCCAGTTTATTATTGGAACAGTTACTGATAGCATAGCAATGCTTCACCATTAAGCCTGGAAGGCTTTCAGATGGACTCTTGAGAGATATGAAGCCCATATAAATTAATAATTTTATTAATGCATTTAATGAATCTTCAAGACAGTAACATCTATTGCAAGCTGCTGGAGCAGAAGGAAAAAACAAGTTCATTAGCCAGTTGCAGTGGGAGAATGTATTTTTAGGAAGTATTTGTAAAAAAACTTAGAGGATCATTCTCTGTATCAGATAATATGATATGATTGCTGCCTCTAAGCACATAGGATTTCTTTTCAAAATAAACTGGATATTTGTCTTGATTGAAATTAATATAAACAGTATAAACAAGCTTTGAAAATTATCAGAACTCGAGTGTGTGTGTGTGTGTGTGTGTGTGTATGTATATATATAAGCTAAAATGGAGCAGGATGAAACTACAAATTACACGAATAAAATGGCCTTAATTTTTATAAATGGAAATTTTTG